GGCCCGGGCCAGACCAGACCGCGGGACCGTCCGCCATCGCCATTGGCCCGCGCCGCCAGCCCCCGCCGCTGCCCATTGGCCGCCTCGCTGCACCATTGTTACGTCACGAGCCGGAGGGCGGGGCGCACAGCGAGACCCGCGGAAAACTTCGGAGAAACTTGAGGGCTGGCGGGTGGGGGTGTGGAGCGCGAGAGGGGCGGGGCCTCGGGCTGTGGGCGGGGCCCCGGGTCAGCGAGCTCCGAATCCCGGAGCGGGGCCGCTGCCCCTCCTCGCGTCCCAGTGGCGCGTTTGCTGGCCTCCCCCAGATGTTTTCCACATCCACTCCCACCCTGACCCCCGTGACCTTGAGGAAAAACTGGGGCCGTGGCTGTTACCCATCAGCACGTGGGAGGACCACGGCAGGCCCTCGGCTCCCAGGGACAGTGTGCACACCACCCAGTGCACACCGGACCTCATGCCTTGATCCTAGCTCCTTGGGAGGCTGAGATCTCAGGGTTCTCGTTAGAAGTCAGCCTGGGCAGGAAAGTCCTTGAAACTCTTTTTTTTTTTTGGGGGGGGGTCCAGTTGTGGGGCCTGAACTCTGGGCCTGGACGCTGCCCCTCAGCTCTTCAGCTCAAGGCCAGCGCTCTACCACTGAGCCACCTTCCCAGCCCCGACCTTGAAACTCTTTATCTTCGCTGGAAGTGGGGCTGTGGCTCTGGATAGCGCCCAGGCCCTGAGTTCAGGCCCCAGGGCTGGCACAAAAAAAAAACATTTAACTTCCTTTCCTCCCGAGCTCCAGTGGACTATGACCTCTCCCCATTCACCCACCAGGAAATCCCACCTCAAGAGGAGGTGGCCTCCAAAAAAGGAAGCAGACATTTCCCCTGCTGCTTTCAGACACCTAGGAACTGAGCCCGGTCCCCCCTGCCTCACACAGGCCTGAGGCTTAGGGTCTCGGCCTTGCCGACTCAGGAGCCAGAATGCATTCCAGAAGCATTAATATGCATTATCACATTGCAGTGGCTAGGAATTATAGGTCTGCTTTTGCCTTCCTCCCACATCTGGTCCTTCTACCAAAACCTCCAATCACCAGACTCACAGTGAAACCCTCCCCACCCTGTGCAGAGGTCTACCAGGTCTGCTCCCCAGAATGCCCCCCACCTTCTCAGCCAGGACCAGCCAGGCTGTCGCCCCCATCCTGTTTCTGCCCAGCAAGGAGACTGGCCACAGGACAAGCTTGGGTACACAGCTCTGCCTGGATCCATCGAGCCCTGCCCGCTCTGCCTCCTTAGGGCAGGGGTTGGGGAACTTCGCTCTGAAAGTCTCCCTGCCCCAGGAGAACTGAGCAGGCATCTGCACCTCTACCCCAGTACACATGTACACCCACGCTGGGCCTCCCCTGGCCCCAGAAGGCAGAAGAGCTTTTGGAGCCCAGGACGGGGCAGTCCAGGCCCCCACAGGGCAGGCAGGCAAGCGATCAAGCGGCCTGGGATGCCGCGTGGAAGTGCCCCAGCAGCCCTGACCCACCGCAGGGCACGCAGCCGGCTCTCAGGGTGTGTGCAGACAGGGTGCTCACACAGCCTGGACCCCGCCTTCAGCACGCCCCTTCCCCCTCTTATTTGTTTGTTCATTTCTTCATTTTGAGCTGCTGGATATTATGCTCAGGACCTCAATTTTGTCCTCTCCTCCCTTTGAGGCCTCCATTTCTCTGTGGTTTCTCCTAGCTTCCCTGTTGTGGAGGCCTCTGAGTGTGGTGGGAAAGGATGGGGAAAATGGCCTTGGAAAGCCTGCATGTCCTCCAAGACAGCTCAGGAGGCCGTGCCCCCGGCTGCGCCTTCTGCGGCCCGCGGCTGTGGTGAGTGAAGGTGTGAGAGCGCAGCAGCACCCCCACCCCCACGGGAAGCTGTCCCCCCCACCCCCACGGGAAGCTGTCCCCCCCACCCCCACGGGAAGCTGTCCCCCCCACCCCCACGGGAAGCTGTCCCCCCCACCCCCACGGGAAGCTGTCCCCCCCACCCCCACGGGAAGCTGTCCCCCCCACCCCCATGGGAAGCTGTCCCTCCCACCCCCACGGGAAGCTGTCCCTCCCCCACCCCCATGGGATGCTGTCCCTCCCCCACCCCCATGGGACACTGTCCCTCCCTTTCACCACCCGCCCCAGCCCTGGAACTCTAAGAAGTCCCTCTCTCTAGTCCTCTGCTGCTCCGAGGAGGGTGTGCACAGGAGGATGGACTCTGCCTTGGGCAGCAGAGCCCAGAACAGGTCATAGCCGTTGCCAGCGTTATCTTCCACCATGTTGCTGCCTGATGCCCAGGGGCACTGTGGGTAGCCACAGAGGAGCAAGGCCTGCAAAGAATTTGGGTGGACTGGGCGGTTAAGGACAGCTGGGGTGAGGGAGAGTGGATCAATGGAAGTGGATTCCTAGAGAGGCTTCAGGGTTAGGGTGGGAGCGGGAGAGGGCCGAGGGACAGAAAATGACCTTTGACCGTGGTGAGCTCTAGCCGAGACCTGACCTAAGCACATTACCCCGCCCTGGAGAGCTCGACCCTGTGGTGTCAGGGCAAAGGTCTGCGTGCACAGGTAATCGTGGGGGGCCTGTGATGCAGGGGTCTCTGCCCACAGGACCGGGAGCTGGGAAGGCTCTCAGCACAGAGGCTTTTTCTTGGCTTTGTGGAAGAAGGAGACACTGCTGTCGCTGACAGAGGCTGGGGACCAGGGCAGCGTGGGTGGGTGGGTCCTGGAGAAAAATGGGGTACTGCTGCCCAAGTGCTTCTGCGAGGAGGGCGGGCTGAGCACCTGGAAGCTGGGGATTTCCAAGAGGTGTCCATGGCAACAGGAGGCAGGGAGAAGGCTGACTGGCAGGTGAGGCCCTGGACATAAAGTGCTCAAAGCCGGGACTGCGGAGGCCGGCAGAGGGGATGGGGCCCTGGGGGGTCAGGACAACTCAGGGCTCCAGGAAGGGGAGCCGGAGGCGGGACTGGTCGGCTGCGATGGTGCCACCGCCCGCAGTGGCGGGAGGACACAGAGTTCTTTGCCAAAGGTCACAGGCTGGAGGGAAAAGTCTTATTTGGAGAGAGGGGTAGGAGAGCTGTGGAGGCAGGGGTGGGGCTGGCGGGCAAGGCAAAGGCACACTTGAGCAGGCAGCACGTGCACTGAGCAGTGCGTGCGTGCGTGCGTGTGTGTGTGTGTGTGTGTGGCACGTGCTCTATCTCAGGGCTCTGTCCTGGAGCGCTTCAGCTCAAGGCTAGCACTCTACCTCACTGAGCCACAGCACCACTTCTGGTTTTCTGCTAGTTCACTGGAGATAAAGGTCTCATGGACCTTCCTGTCCAGGCTGGCTTTGAACCGCTGTCCTCAGAGCTCAGCCTACTGAGCAGCTAGGATTACAGGCGTGAGCCACCGGCATCCTGCTGGGAAGCCCTTCTTGGGGGTCAGAATATTGGGCACAAGTACCAGGAGGGTGTAAGAAAGAGCTCCAAGACACCTACTCAGATGGCTTCTGTTCCCAAAGTCTTCCGTTTTCAAGGTCGTCTGGTGGGGGGAGGGGGCTGGGGCTGGAGAGAGCAGCCCTTAACTGGCTGCCCGCTCCTCCCGGGCTGGGCTTCACACCCCTCCTCTAGAGGGGCTTCAGCAACCCCAGGCCTCCCTGCAGCCCATCAAACGGGCTTTCCACTGGCTGGCTGAGCTGCCAGTGCAGACCCAACAGGTGAAAGCCTAGGGTGGACCAGAGGCAACCTGGAAGGTCAGGCTGTCACCGAGGAGTGGCCTTCCTGGAAGACTGTGATGTGCTGAGACCCAGCTGGCAGGCCAGCCCTGGGCACCCGGCTCACGGGC